AAGGCAAACTGCTGTTTAGACATTTATGAGGAAGTGATGAGGAAGCAGGATTTTTCCTGGACAGACAAGAAAATCAAACATGCTGGCGTCTTTGTTGCACTGTCATAACAGGGCAGTGGAGGAAGGGGAAAGAAGACACATGTTCAGGATCTACCTGTAGGCTGCTGCTGGAATTGAAATGAAACATGCACGTCAAGGTCAGAAGCTTTACCTGTAGTTGTTGCAGCTGCATATATCTGTGGCAGTGTGAACCTGTCTTTTCCCTCAGAGTTCAAACGTTACAGTGATAATGACTGCACAGAGCATTTTTGTGCCATAACAGTACTTAACAGCAGCACACATCTAAAAGCAGAGGAATTCATCAGTCTGGGAAATACTTGCTCAGTTAATTTGGTTCATCAGGAGAAAAAGAAATTTGTGTTTTGAACTGTTGGTTTGAAAAAACAGGGTTCTGGCAAATGTGTCTGTTTTCTGACCACATAATTTGTCCATTAACTGAAAGAATAATTGATAATTGATTAGAACATACACCTTTAGTGTAAATGCTTCATTGCGGCCTAAGGCAAATAAAACAGCCAAAGAGGGCAATTTTTGTTAATTTACAGCACTTTGGGTTTTTTAAGGAACCAACGGTTTGGTTATTCCTTCCTGTCATTGTTGTTTTTGTTGCCCCCTGCTGATTATGAGACAGTATGTGGTGCTGATTCTTAGAATTAGTTGGAAGAACATTGACCCCCATAAAACTGTTCGGTTGTGTTTTCTGGAGTCAATCTGTCCCACCAGAAAATCTTCTTACAGCGAGTGCACAACATCTGGTCACACCCTCCATCCTTCTGTAACGTAAAGCACAACACACGTATGAGCAAATTCAATCAGAAACTCTCTCTGAACTGCTCTGTGCTCGCAAGTTTGTACGAATGTGCTCAGGTGAGTGCAAACCTCTATTCTAGTGAAGCATTCAGGACAACTCTTGGTATTGTTGGCAATCCAGTTGTCGCTTAGTTTTTTTTCTGCAATGGACACCAGTAAATTGCAGCCATATCTATTTTCCAGCAGGCGCTTCCTCTCCCTGCTGCCACTGGCATAGTCCTCCCAGAGAGCCTTCACCCCCTCTAAGAGACACATAAAGGACACCAGTATCTACACTTGGACTAAACACACATGTGCATCGACTCAAAGCAATCATCCAGTTACCTCCTGTACTTTCAAACCTCCAAAGTCTCATTTGTGAAACAGTTTTACATTTACTGTGACTGGATGTTGTCATTTTCATTATTCTTTGAAACCTTTTTCTTGTGGTCACACAGCTGTGTACCTTGTGACTGTGGCAGGTCTATTATATATCTTTCAGCATATTTTTTCTTGGTCTCACACTTCCCCGTTCCATGGTATGTTTTTCTGCATATGACGCAGAAGGCAAAGCCGCACTCAGAGCAAAGCGCTGCCTTGCTGGATTTCTCCAAAATCACGGCAGAGCCGCAGGATGTTCGAGGACAGTACGTCACATCTGCGAGATAAAAAGATGCCAAAAGAAATGAGATATTTATGAAAAAGAGCTAAAGATGTTCTTTTTACCAGGTCTAACCCAGAAATGTAATAAATAGATTCTGATCAGTCTATGAAAGCCTTCATCACACAATCAGTATAAAAGCAACAGAAAGAAAACAGACCAGACATGCTGTCCAGAGTCTTCTGCAGCAGGAGACGGTCATAGCGGTCAAACAGCTTCTCCCCTACCAGACTCTGCACCTACAAACACAACAGAGATGAAAAAGCAGAGACACAAAGTGAGACTGAGGTCAGCTGATCAGGACAAAAACCAACCCCTCAGGCTACAGGAGACTTGGGGTGGGTGAATGACCTAAATAATATTTTAATAGGTTTGGTCAACCACCCACCCCTCCCACAGCATCGTCCCCCCCTGCTGCAATCTCCTTCAGGGACTGCCTCTCCTTCATCTCAGGACTTCACAACTCTCAGCTTCACGCCTCCCAGCTCCCAGTCATTACACCCACCCCCGGCTTCTGTGGACTCCAACATACACCCCCCTCCCCCAAAATCCATTCTTTCTATCTCAGCACTTCAAGTGAGGAACGAGCTTCGCAAGATCAAGGTGCGGAAGGCTGCAGGTCCAGATGGCATCAGCTCCAGGCTCCTGAGATGCTGCGCAGATGAACTGTGTGGCATCCTAGGATATCTGCTCAACCTGAGCCTGTCACTGGGGAAAGTATCACAGCTGTGGAAGACATCCTGTGTGGTACTGGTACCAAAGACCTCCCATCCCAAGGACCTCAGCAGCTACAGGCCGGTACCCCTGACATCGCATCTGATGAAGACCCTCGAGAGGTTGGTTCTAAACCATCTGCGCCCCCTGGTGAGGTCTTCATTGGATCCGCTACAGTTTGCTCAACACCCGCACAGGGGGGGAGAACACCACAACATACACCCCCCACACCAAGCTCTGACTCACCTGGAGAAGCCTGGAAGCACTGTTTAGCTGGAGCTATCGGGAGTGGACCAACACATGTCCCAGTGGATACTGGACTACCTCACAGGACGCCCACAGTATGTGAGGTCACAGGGCTGTGTCTCTGACACGCTGGTCTGCAGTACGGGGGCCCCACAGGGTGCCATCACCGTTCCTCTTCACCCTCTCCACGCTGCCACCTACAGAAGTTCTCTGACGACTCTGCCATAGTCGGCCTCATCACAGGTGAGGACGACTCAGAGTACAGATGGTGGACTCTGGACTTTGTGGACTGGTGTCAGCAGAACCACCTGCTGATCAATGCCGGGAAAACCAAGGAGTTGGTGGTGGACTTCCGGAGACGCAGACCCACCACACTGACACCAGTGAACATCCAGGGAGTGGACATTGAGATAGTGGACTCTTATAGGTACCTGGGTGTTCACCTGAATAATAAACTGGACTGGAGCCACAACACTGATGCTCTTTACAGGAAGGGTCAGAGCAGACTCTACCTGCTGAGGCCGCTGAGGTCATTTGGAGTCCAGGGAGCGCTTTTAAAGACTTTCTATGACTCTGTGGTGGCATCCGTCATTTTTTACAGTGTTGTATGTTGGAGCAGCAGTTTATCGGCAGCTGAGAGGAAGAGGTTGAATAAACTCATCAGGAAGGCCAGCTCTGTTCTGGGATGCACCCTGGACCCAGTGCAGGTGGTGGGAGACAGAAGGACTCTGGCCAAAATAACATCTCTGATGGACAGAGTCTCCCACTCCATTCATGTAAATGTTGCTGAACTGCAGAGCTCCTTCAGTGACAGACTGCTGCATCCTAGATGGATGAAGGAGCGTTTCCGCAGGTCCTTCCTCCCTGCAGCTGTCAGACTGTACAATCAGAACCGCTCCCAACAAACATAGATGTTTACATCTGCGCTGTAACTGCAATAAGTTAATCAACCGATTCACACTGCAACCTGGTTTGCCTCTTATCTGTAGTTATTTTTATTTAATTTAATAACTGTACAGTACTCTGTTTATAGTAACCATTGTCCTTAATGTAAATATGTAAGAAAAATTGTGTATGTTTCTGTTCTGTGTACTGTGTCCTGTTTGTTGTATATGTGTCTTTCTGGCTGCTGTTAAAACCAAAATTTCCCTTGTGGGACAATTAAAGGATTATTCTATTCTATTCTATTCTATTCTATTCTATTCTATTCTATTTGACAAGAAAGGACAGTCATCAGTTCTCCTTGTCTCCTCTGTCCTTGATCCTTCTACCTGTAGCTATTTTTAACAGCTTTTAAAATGTGTTTTGATATTAGATAAAAGGACCAAACACTACAGTTGTTGAAACCATTCTGCAGGTGGAAGGCTGCGTGTAGCTTCTACCTGTGCAGGTGTAGGGGCACCAGCGCAGTCTGCCTGAGGACAGGTGACACCCCGGACGTTCCCCTCTGTGATCTGAACCGTACAGAACTCGCAGAGACAGGCCCGGCAGAAGACGTGGCCACACGGTGACAGCTTCACGCACTCGGACCCGAGCCGGCCCATAAAACAAACCCCGCAGTCAAAGAAAGTGGTGGCAAACACTTTGTGTTTCTGGGCCGCATCATAGATCAAAATGTGGGACAGTAGAGTCTGTGATGGAGATAAAAAGAGACCAGAGAGGGCTTGCTCTTCACTCTGAGGAGAATCTGTGGGCCGGACCGGCAGAGAAGCAGCTCCAAGTTCACTTGGATCTAACGTGCCTGAGGAGGTAGAGGGAAGCAGCAATGAGAGAGAAGCATCTCCTTCATTTAAGAAATCTTCCCGGACACTTTGATGATGCTTGGATATCTCTGCAGATGAAGAAAGATCATCCTGGAGATCAACATTAAACTCTGAGGCTTGGAGGATTGTCACATCTGGAGTGTGTGTGGTTTGGTTTTGGAGTGCAGGCTCTGGAGAAAGAGCTCTTTGATAATCTGAGGTTAGATCATTCTGGTCATGCTTGCAGGAGTCTAAAGCCGAAGCTCCCTGAGAGTCTGCGCTGCTCCCGTCTGAAGGATTCTCCTGAACTTCCGAGGATGGTACAGAGAACTCTGGCTCTGAATTGTTCTTTGGTTCTGACAGTTCAGCATCGTGTTGGTCCTGGTTATAATGCAGGGTGCTGCGTTCATCAGGAGGAAGATCCAGCTTACTGTGGATGTTCAGGAACCTCAGAGCGTCTTCTCTGAGAAACTGCACCCAGGAGAAGAGCACCACAGCTCCCCCAGTGGCCTCATAGAGATCAGCGAGATGAGCACGCAGTGCAGCCAACTGTGGAGGGAGAGGGAGAATAGATTGTTGTCATCTTTACTGAGCCTCTACAATGTCCTGTGAACCTCTCACACACTGGCAGGCTGAACATGTGACCAACAATGACTTGACTGCTGATTACCTGTGTGCGAGTCAGCCAGCTGCAGGTGAGGCTGAAGGAGGGAGGGGAGGAGGAGGGGTAGTCTTCAGGAAGCCCAAAGTTCAAAAGCAGCGGTGGAAGGAAGGAAATATCATACTGACGCAGACTTTCACCTTAGAAAGAAAAATACGAGCTCATCAGATGAACTATTCTCTTTCTGTAATGTTTGTTTATTTGTTTTTAAATAATTTGGGTGTATTCGGCAGAAAATATTTGATATATTCTGTCACATGAACACAAATAGCAAAAGCTATAAATGATGCTTGATGACATTAAGCTGTTCAAAGGTATATTTAATATAGATATATTTAATTCATACATCATACATTCCATTTAATGCCAACAAAAACATGCTCATTACATTGTTACGGGCTCGCCTAATGCAGAACAAGTGTTTAACTCATTTTACATCATTAGCTACATAAAACCCATTTTTATCTTAAGTAGATGATTAGGGCTGTACCAGTAAAGGTACTTCCTAATATTCCAAAACAACATTTTCCAACACATCAGATCGGACCTTTTCGGTCCAACAGTCGCGTGTTTGACAACCCCGGAGACTCTGATTTACCCTCTCTGAGAGCCACGCTGAAGCCGACAGGAAGCTCGACACATACTCGGATTTCTCCGGCAGACTTCGACTCGTCCCGAACAAACTCGTCCGCATCAAAGATACTCTGGAGAGCGAGCAGCTCGTCTTCCTGCTCCTCCAAGTCCTCAGTCATCTCTTTCTCCTCGGTCTGATTTTGTGAGAAGCCTTCCTTCTGTGGCTTCTTGCTTGACTCTGGTCCACACCAGCCTGTTCCTGGTCCTTGTTTGTCCGTCCCTCTGACTCATCAGCGTATGATGTAAGAAGCAAAGTACAGGCAGCAACCTCAGCCTACTGTAACCCTGCTGCTGATGCAAACCAGTCTAACGGGCCAATCAGCATGTTTGTTTGTTTTTTAGTACTAATACTCCTTAATAGTCCATTTTGCACTTTTATTTGCAATCCATGTCTCTAAGAACCCAACAATACAGTACACTATTAAACTCCTCTCTCCTTTAATTTACTGGAACACATTACAGAAGAATACTCCCTGCTCCTCTGTGAACGTTTCTCCTTTAAGTTCCTCACAAAGTGATCTAAGAGTGCTTTGTTAAATTAGCTAAGTCAATATTAGACATAATGAAACAGAAATTTTAATATCCATCAGTTGTGGCTCTAATTTTCCATCACATTGACTTGGCTTTGGCTCTAGAACTTTTTCTCTGCCTTGCTCAACAGCTTTAGTTCTCTCTGGGATTCGAACTGGACACTCTGGGGGCTTTTTTGGATTTCAAGATGGCAGACAAAGCCCTGGGACTTCTTTGATACATCATTTTTCTGGGCACTGTCAACAGATGCTGGAAAGAAAGAAATACAGTATTTACATGCTCTATTCTTCCAAAACTAAATCAGCATTTCACAAATTCTCTGTATCATCAATTGTTCTCTAAACATTATTTTATTATTCAGATAAGTGATTCATATATTCAAAGCACTTGTGACAAACTGTCATCAAATATTTTAAGGTTGCTGATGTTTGGCTCTAACTGTTGGGTGGAGAGGCTCTGACTCCCACCTGACACCCGGATGCACTCTTTCTTGTGTCTTTCTTCCCAGGAGTTGAGCTTGCAGGTCCTGGAGCAGTAGAAGACCTTGTTGTAGCGCCTGCCCAGGGTCAGATTCATGGACACGGACCGACCGCAGTGAAAGCAGAACTTTAACACTGGTTTCACGAGAACAAGTTTACACATAAAGAAAGAGAAGTTCCTGAAAGCTGTGTTTAGATTAGGTAACAGAGAGCAGAAAAATAGGAACAAGAGCAGCACCTTACTGTAGATGAATGTGAGTGTATGCGTACCTGTGGTCTCCTGCTTCCTCTGGGAGGCTTTTACTTTTGGGAGGGACACACACACACACACTTATAATTTAAAGCCATTTTCAACAATGAGAGCAAGTGTTAGCAGGAGTCCTTAGCAGTAACATATAGCACTGTGCTAACGTCTTGCACCACTCCTCATTTCCGGCCCTGTAGATGTTGATCCATCCTCAGCAAAAATGGTCTCAGTGACTGTCAAGGAAGGGAAGCAGGGAGAAATGTCTGGGGCTTGCCAAATTACACAAGAACTATACTGAAAATCAGTGGCAACAGGTCTGAGTAATGACTCTAAAAATGACATTTTTGGTTTGAATTGGTATGTACAGAGGAGGTCAGGAGAGAGGTACAGCAGTGAGTGTCTACAGCCATCTGTAAAACAGGGTGGAGGCTCTGTGATGGTTTGGGTTTGCATTTAAGCCAGTGCCGTTTGAGATCTTGTCAAAACCGATGGAGTTACGAATTCAGAAAAGCACTGTCAGATTTTCATCCACCATACAGTTCCATACGTGTGAGTGGTTGCGTATGTAGGATCAGTGAAGCAGGACTTTGCTGTGAGTGTTTACATGTCACCCTGATGCAAAGACCTGTTAATGCTGTTTACCCGGCTTAGCCAGGAATTTAGGAAATTTGTGTTGGTTTTCTCTTGTGGACATTTACTGGCTATTCTGATGTTTTAGCTCCATGCGCAGTCTACAAATGAGGCAAAATGAACTCTTAAGACTTGAACCACTTCATCCATTTATTAGTCAGCTGTTCAAGGAAAACGTAAATACTCAATGTTAAAAATGGTCTTCAAAAGTCATTAAAGTGTTTATGAACAGAGGTGAAAAAGTCAAAATGGCATAGCAGGGACTCAGTGCTTACATACATATATACATCAGTGATGTGCGACTTTGCACCACTTTTCTGTTTCTCAAGGTTTCTCTTAGAAGCCTTTCAACTTGTAACATTATCATAATTTTTAAGACAAACAAACAGACGGGTTAGAGTAGGATGAGATCAGTTAGTATTTAAATACTATCCAAATGTTCAAATCACAATGTCATAATCGCACCATGTTCTTAGGTCTTCATGTGGAAAATCTGCGTCTCATACCTTGCACTATAAACATGGGCTTGGATTGAAAAGCTATTTAAATGACTGTAAGGAAATTCCCTTCACAATTCCACTGAGGAAGTTAAGATAAGTGTGCTGTGCTGAGTGATAAGGGATGTAGAGAAACAAGCGGGGTGGAGGCCGAACTTCTCAAGCTTTGGTCTCGACCTCTAGTGTGAAGCTTTCCATGGGTCCTTTGCTCAGGGCCTTGATGTCATCCAGGAGAACGGTGGGGGTCAAAATGTGGGAAGACCCTGTATAGGATAAAGATAAATAAATTGCATTAAAAAACAAACAAACAAACAAACAAAAGAAAAGTCCTGTCATAATTCCGCTCTGCTCCAGTAGGGGGTGTAAAACAGCAGGAAATAACGTATAATAAGTGTAATCTTAAAACTCAGTGGAACCTTCCCGATAATCGTCACAATCATAGCTCTCCTTAGTCCATGTGCTGCAAGCTAATATTTCCCAGCATTCTGACTTTCTGCGCGCCTATTTGGTACGAAGCATTGTCCAGCTGTTTCCTTGCACTGAGTCTTACCAATGATGACCTCGCAGGTTTTCATTGCCCTGGTGACCTCGTAGGCGCAGCGCATCTCAGAGAAGCTGATCCCTCCTATAACAAAGATGATGAGACGTGAGCCAGTCCGGCGGTCATCCTGAGTGCTGGCTCTGTGCTTCTGCCGTGCGCTGTGGAGAAGAAGGAGGGGCATCGGAAATATTAACTGACAGAGCCTTAAAGAAGAAAAAGCAGACGCTGCTTCTTACTGTTGAAACTGGATAATCGACCTCATTCACCTCAATCAACCCTCTAAGAAACAGAAAGTGGATGTGGAGAGATAAATCACACAGACTGACTGTATAAGCATAACTAAGTGACACAACAACACAAAACTGTAGGGTTGTTAAACTGTATATTCTTCAGTTAGAAAGAAACCAAAACAGCAGCCCAGTTCCAGCCTGGTCACTCACAAAAACCCACCTCACAGCCCCGGAGCCATTCCAGGCAGCAGGACACTCGGACTGGTGCGGCCACTCTTTGGTGTCCAGTTTGTTCTCCACGACATCCTGGAAGTAACGCATGTTTTAGAGATCATGTGACATGGAGAGCAAATCTGTTTTGCAAGCCAGTAACAATTTTAAAGTGCAGTAACCTTCACTCGCTGAGGGGTCCTACCTACATTACATTTATATGCACATGGTCCAGTGGTCATCTTCTAAATGTTACGCAACGTGTATCTCTTTGACCATCATGCGCATACTTCAGTTTTCTTTATATTTGGAACACAAGTTTCAGTCACTCTGTAAAACGATTTATTTTGTGGGTGACGTCACAACTTAAAAGCAGAAGTCGTGCCATTAACAGAGCTAATTAACAGAAGAACACATGATGAGTAATTTTGGTGCCAAGTGTGATAATAACGTAACTACATCATGCATTAGTAAATGTCAAAACACAGGCTACTGCTTGACAAACAATTTGCTTTCCTCAAACTCAAAGTCTCACTGTTTTTTTTGCATCATGCACCTTTATGCTTAGAAATACTTGAGACTAGCAGACGAGTTATCTGCAGCAGATATTCAGCTCCCACACATCAAATAAATTTGTCTTCTGCTGCAAGAGGAAACATTTTAACCGCATTTGACAGGAAACCAGGTGCTCAGGTGAAGACCACTGATGTTTTTCTTTTTTTTTCCCTTCCATGTAATAACAGGAAATGCAAGTGAAGATGAGAAGAAACGAGCTCATGTTACAGATCCTATAACATGGAGTTAGATTCTAATCTAATATAAACTTATTTTCACAGTAACCTGTAAGATGATTACTAAAAGGCTTTTGTTTGCTATTAGGAGCCTCCTCTTCATTGGATACACTCCATCTGATTAACAACATGGATTTACAGAACTGAGACTGAGTGAAGAGAAGAGTTTGGGGGAAAACTGCTAATGGGGGTATTTCCACCTCTCAGTTCCACACCCATTTCAGAGAAACGGCTTCGGCAGCTGAGTTTTAAGAGCAAGTATATATTTTCTTTTCATGATTTGTGGTTGACAGGTCACATGACTTACCAAAGTGAAAACAAAGCACAGTGAAAAGGTACATTTAGAAAAGAAAACCAAAAACTGGCAGCACAGCTCACCCAACATACTTATAAGACAATAAAAACACTAGTTCTGAGGGACTGAGACAGAAACAGAAGGACCATCCTCTGAAGAAAAACAACAAGGCAACAACTAGTGCCTTATTGTGGTTTACACTTGCTAGGATGCAGAAAACGGTACAGAACAACACAAACTTGTGTGACACAGCTTATCAGATGACCCGAATCTGATAACCTCCTTTTGTTCTGCTTCCATAGTTGTGCTCATGAATGCCCCTTAGACGAGGACTGGGGTAGCACAATGAAACAGATACAGTTACATGTTCAGTTTGGCATCAACTACTCTAATGACCGCTCAAGGCTGGGTACACAACAGAGTCAGCTCACACATGTTCAAATGCCCCAAATCAGCAATGAAATGAACAAATGTTTACAGCCTGAAATAAAAACTGCTTTTGGCAATGGATAAATTCATCCTTTATAACAACTGTGCGCCAGGGTAACTTTTTATTTATAACTCAAACATTTGTTCGTGCAGAGGCTCAAAGCTTTGATTGACAGGTGTCGAAAAAGTTCATTCCACCAACTGAACTGAAACCTCTACACCCCGTCTGTGTGTTGGTGTCTGTAGAGCAGTTTTACTTTCACTGTCTAAAGCATAATGTGGACTCAAGTGAGCTACAACAAAGCCCGCAAGTT